GACGATGATATACATGATTCACTTGATGAGTGGTTGTTTGGTCTTGTTGGGAGACTTGCATGATTGGAATTTACAAGGGTCAGCCTCAATGAGCAACTGAACAATCTCATTCATGCTAGGACGAAGGGCAGCTGTCTTGCATGTACATCGAAAGGCTATACGAAGAACCTTAATTATGTCATCATTGAAATAACCAGAAAGTGTGTTGTCCAAAACCTCGATTGCTCCTTGTTTTGTTTCCACTTTGGTTGAAATCCAATATATGATGTTCTTGTTTTCTCCAAACTCCATCTCGACGGGCTTCTTCCCAGTAATGAGTTCCATCAACACCACCCCAAAACTATAGACATCGCACTTTGTTGTGGCTTTACAGGAATATGCATACTCTGTAAATTAACGTAAAACAAAACACTTATGAAATTAATGAATTTAAGGGTGGTTGTTAATTATGAGTAAATTAAAATAGGTAGGTAGGTACCTGGTGCTAAGTAGCCATAGGAGCCTGCAACGAGTGTGGTGGTGGAGTCTTTTCCTCGAGCCCCCCGGAGAACTTTGGCGATGCCAAAGTCAGCTACTTTGGGTTGGAAGTTTTGGTCAAGGAGGATGTTGGTTGACTTGATGTCTCGGTGAATGATTGGCGGCATAAGATGGTGGTGGAGATAGGCAAGACCTTGTGCCACCCCAAGTGCAATCTGATGACGTGTCGGCCAATCCAAAAGACATTTCCCTGTATGAAGTGCATCCCATAGGTTCCCATTCGGCATGTATTCATATACCAACAAGTTACAATCAAAGCTTGAGAAATAGCAATACAACTTTACTATATTTTTATGCCTTATGTTTCCTAGAGTCTCCACTTCTGTTTTTAGCTCTCTATTCATAATCTGCTGCTGCTGCTGCTCATCGGAGCCTTCATCTGCTGCTTTGCTTTTCTGACTCCAAAGTCTCTTAACAGCAACCACCTCTCCGTTGCTCAGCTCAATCTTATAAACAGTTCCCGACCCTCCATGCCCCACCACATTCTTATCAATCATGGCTTCCACTATTTCTTCCTGATCAAAACTCACCCGATGAAAGCTTTTCACATTGTACGAGCAATATGAAGATGACCATGTTTCCTCGTGTTTTACAACATCGTTTTCCTTACTAAACCAACGTTGTAGAAACACAACACCCCCAATGACAACCACCCCGATTGAAATCCCTATAACCCAAATGTAATCCACTTTTTTTCTACTGTAAGCCTCGCCACAAATGGAGAAATTTTGATTTTTATCTGATGATGATTTGGGGTACTCGGAAATACACAGATTTGGGTTGCCTATAAAGCTCTCGAGTTGTCCTCCTTTGATGAACGAGAGGGGTATCGGCCCTGAAAGATGATTGTTTGAAAAGTTCATCGAGCTTGGAAGCAAATCACAGAAGCTTTCCGGGATTGAACCGGTTAACAAATTTCTTGAAAGATCAAGAACATTTAAAGATGTTAGTGAGGAAAGTGAATTAGGAATGTGGGAAGTAAGTTTATTTCCTTGCAGCAGGAGGAGATTGAGCCTTTTGAGGTGGCCGATTTCTGAAGGAATAGGACCCGAGATGAGGTTATTGCTAAGATCAATCTTTACAAGATTATAAACTTGAGAAATTTCACAAGGGATAACTCCGGTGATGCGATTATTCTGTAAAAACAATTCTGACAAATTTTTAGCATTCCCGAGAGATGGAGTTATTGAACCGCTTAAAAAATTGTCACTCAGATCGATGATGGATACTGACGGGAGGCTCAGAATCTTTTCTGGTATGTTTCCCTCCAACATGTTGGAACTAAGTCGGAAACGTATTACAGAGACACATTTGCTGTAACTTTCCGGCAACACACCAGAAAACCTGTTGTCAAGGGCTAGCAAGTAATTCAACTTACCTCCATTGCATATCTCCGGTGGCAATTCTCCTGTCAACTGGTTTTCCGACAAGTCAAACAGCACCAGAGGCGACCATCTTCCTAGGTGCCTTGGAACTTCACCTGTCAAGTAGTTGCTATAAAGGGATAACATCACCAAACTCTTTGACTCCTCAAGCACACGTGGGATTTCTCCGGTGAGACTGTTGTTGTAAAACTGCAATACTCTGAGATTCGGGAGGCGGCATATGGATTCCGGCAGACTTCCGGTTAACTTATTGACAGACATGTCGATGTCAGTGAGGCCCGTCAGGTTACCAAGCTCTTCCGGTATCCCACCGGTTAGTTGATTGTAGTAAAGCTCGATTAATTGCAAGTTTGGAAGCGAACCGATTTCTGTCGGAACCGGACCCACTAAAAAATTCCCGCTCAATTCAAGATCAACAAGAGACGTCATGTTCCCGATGCTTTTCGGGATTAAACCACTCACCATGCACGTACTCAAGATCATTGACCTGAGTTTTGTCAGCCGGAAAATATCAATCGGCAAGCTCCACGGCTCAAAACCACCGTTTTCATTGAAGTTCACCACTTGAAGATTGGTGAGGTTTATAAGAGACTTGGGGAATTTTCCGGTGAAGGAACATGATGACATATCAAGAAACCTCAGGGATACCATGGATGACATGTCAGGCAATTTTCCGGCGAGATTTGTATGTGTGGTTGTCAGTTCTTCCAGTAACGAACAGTTGGTAATACTGTAAGGGAAGTCACCATGGATATCATTATGGCCAATATTCAAGCTTTTCAGTTCCGGCAGGTAAGAACATATGTTTTCCGGGAAGTGGCCAGATAAGTTCCACCCAGAAATATCAACCTTCACTACGTACCCTTTACTGTCGCAGCTTATTCCTGTGTAGTTGCAGACATTTTTTCCGGATGTGACATCCCAGTCAGCCATAGGGTTTCCGGAAAGAGATTTTTTCATAAGTTTGAAGAACTCAGACTGGTTAGCTATGGTGTTTGTAAGTGAGAAGAGAAATACAAGACTGAAGATGAAAATATAGCCAAATCCCATTGGTGGAATGCTGGGTTGTTAAACGTAGAAATAAAGGAAGAAAATGAAAAACAAAAATAATTTCTAGTTGTAGTGGAAGTTATGTTCGCGTGGGTGATGCACAACAGAAGGAGAGATGATGAAGATTGAAGACAAGAGATATTTAAATGAAATGATTGGTTAAATCATTGGGAGCTAAAAAAAAGTTTGTGTAAAAGTGTACACGGACAATATTTGGGCCTATTAAACTTTAAGTAAAATTGCATTTGGCCAATGACTTTTTTTTTTTTTCTACATGTTAATATTGTGCTAATCAGGCATAGATTGACCCTCATATTAATGATATTCAGACAAAATTGCAATTTTTTTTCTATTGAAATGTGAGAAAGTCAAAAGAGTCGTGAACATCGTCATTATCGTTACCATAAAAAATAACTCTTAAAATTTGTCCCATTCATTATAACGTTAACGTACTCTAGTGACCCAAATGGTTGAATACACATACACTTGCATATTTGATAGGTAATGGTCCATAGGAGAAAGAAAGTTGTGGCATAAAGTCGCTTTATGTTATACCCTAACCCTCCCACTACCTATTGTAGAGAATAACATCAAATGCAAAGGAGAGCCTTCTTTTGTACAAGAACTAGAATCAGATGCTTACTACCACTCACTGACTTGTATAGCCTATCTGGTCCTCACACCATATTCTTCACAGATAAATATTGATTCGTTCAAGACACGACATGAAAACTATAGCCTTTTGATTTCCTAAAAGTTTTATCATAATTATCGAAAGGCTATTTACATTTTTGAAGTGGATGATGGTTAACATAAAAAACAAGAATACAATATCTTGCATCTAGGTTGGTAAAAAAATTATATTAACATAAAAACTTAAACGGCTAAATAAATTAATGATGAAAATACTTTTTTCTTTAGCTTTTTAAAAATATAAGAAATATATGTAAATAAATTAATTCACTCAAGACTCAACCTATAACGATACTTATTGTCACATGCTATACAAGAAATGATAATTAAATAGTACAATATAAAAAACATTATATACTTTGAAGTTTAAAGAAAAATGATTTCTTTTATACACAATTCCGGTGATCTGTTTGCCAGCCCACTTGGTAGAGGCTTTGCCTCTTAGATTGGAGGTCTCGAGTTCTATTCCAGGCGTTGACGGTTTCGTGATACTAACTGCTAACCACTAACCACGCCGTTCAAAAAAAAAAAAAAAATCCCGGTGATCTGTTTCTTTTACCCGAAAACAAATAAATTGTTTTCGACATATATCAAACTGTCTCAAACACTCTTTATTCAATTCAGTTTTTGCCAAACATAAAAAGTCTTAACCATATATTTTTTTTTTATTTAACAAAAACATAAACAATCAATATTATATGTCTCTTTCAAAAAAACAATCAATTATATGTTATCTTTAAGTATAGTTTGATTAAAATTTAATTATTATTTTACTAATATTTTAAATATGACTTTTAATCTTAATAAATGGGAACGTTTAAAAGATATTAAGATTAGCAATAACATTTTTATAAATCGGTACAATTAAATAGAAAAAAAACCATGAAAGATTACATGTAAAATCTAAGTGTGGAATATATTATTATTTTTGAGCATATTTTATTTATTTATTTAATAAAATACAACTCTACTTAAAATAAATTCTTTATGTAGGCAAAATGATCCAAAATGTCAACCAATAAAACAAAATTTACCCATTAGGTTATTGAAGTATTAATTGTATCTATTTGACCAACAAACTTCTTTTTTTAGTTTTATTATATTATTGATATCGGTGATAGTCGGTTACCAACCCACGTGGAGAACATCATATCATCGGTTATGTCTACGTAATCGATGGTATAACAGAACCGAAAAGAAAAGTTTATTGGATCAATTGGATACAATTATATAAGTTTAGTGGCTTAAAAATCAAATAAAATGTCATTGGTTGCCATTTTATGATATTTTCATAGAAAATATTAAAACACGCTTAAACACCATTTATATATCAAAAATCTTCAAGTTTTTCTTAACTTACTTGTCTTAAAAATATTTAGGCCAATCATAAGACAATTATATTTTTCAACGCAAAATTTTCGTTTTCTTCTAAATTCATTGGTAAACTCATATAACTATTTCTAAGACTTAACAATTTAAGCAACATATTAAAAGATATTAAAAGTTATTTTGTTTATTACATTGTTTCTTTTCCCAAACAATCCCGCTACATATAAATTGCTAATTCTTAAAAATGGTTATATATAGAGGGTGCGAACCCTCCCGGTTCCGACACCATTTTCACACCAATTTTCAATATTTTTCACTTCTTTCACCTCCACAAACCTCCTTACAACCACCCCCCCCCCCCCCGGAATCCCGGTAACATATCCAACACCCGAAGAACATCCCGAGGCACCNNNCCCGCAAGAAAAGAGACTTTCGGTTTCCAAACCCGACCCTCGCAAAGTCCAGTTTTCAGCATTAAAGCATTTTCTAGCAACGAAGTGCTGCTCAAATCACCACTACTATCAAGTGAGTTTATACCCTATGTGTTTACTATCTTTTTATAGTTTAGGGGGGAATACAAGTAAAATACAAGAAATTTTACATGCAAATATTCAAATATGTTTATCTTTCTATTTTATGAAGAGATTTTTACTATCAACTTTATATACATTATTATGGGTAAAGTTTTGATAAATACATATTGTCTTAATAAACAAGTTCAAAAGACTTTGTTTTAATCAACTAAATATATATGATTATATATACATATATTGAGTATACTTGAGTCATATGATAAACTATATAAATCTAATTTATGGAACAAAGATACTATTTTACAAGGTTCAGATTATAACACGGAACAAAACTTATAAACTAAAATAGATATAGTTTATGGGACTTACGTGTTGCTTTATATATTAAGAATAACTTACGAAAATAATTATATAAATTATATTAAATATAATTTATTAGAGATTTACGGTTTATCTATTACAAAGATATTATTCTTTATTCTACATGTAACCGTCAATATAGCATTTGTGAGACACGCTTCAAGTACTTATTTAAGTATAAAACAAAAGTCTTGAAAAATATAACTAGAGTCTCCTTGAGGGAGAGCGTGACACTTGTGTATAGATCTATACGGGACTGACAATCCCGCACCAGAGCTGCTTGCAACAGCTAGGTCGGCAGACCTGTGGTGACAATTGTCGTACCATATTTCGACGCCTGAAGAACGTCGTGTTTCAGGCGAGGCTTAGGTCATCAAGCATGGTTATGATAAGTCACAATTTGGTATTGAATAACGCGATTAGTGTATGAATAAGAAACAACTTTATATATTTTTAATAAATAATAAAACTATAACACATTATTTTACAATACAAAAGGTAAACCTAGGCTTCTACAGAGAATTCATAATAGTATAAAATACAAAATACTATTTTATAACAGGGAAAAGATTCATTTTATAGTTTTATGTGAATTAAAACTATATGATACTATTTCAGAACACAAATACATATACAACAGAAAATATAGGATTTTCTAGGTGAATATACTTATCTTTTTAAGAATCAAATGATAGAGTTATTTTACAAAAATACTTATGAACTCACCAACTTAATTGTTGACACTATTTTCAAAACTACTTGTATTTTCAGGAAATCGATAAACAGGTATCCACAAGTTTTGAGGAAGACAGAGTTTCATATAATTATGTCTTTTGATTATACTTTTTGGTTTCAATTATATACAATGATTTGAATACGAATGTAAAGTTATATTTTATCAATGTAATGGATGTTGTGCTTTGATTTCTATATTGCATTGTTGTGATATTGAACATGAAGTCATCCACCCCCGAATGTTTCCGCCATTCCGGTTTGGGGGTGTGACAGATTGGTATCAGAGCATTTTTTATAGTGAACTAAGTATATCAACCCATAAAAGATATACAACTATAAATACAATGGGGGCTAAAACACTCTGACCAAGAGTTATACTTTTAATTATAATAATATTTTTATAAAAGTATACATGCATACATATATACTAGAACAAGTATCACAAGAGGAACAAAACAAAAGTTTTTAGATGTTGGACACTACAGCTAAACCTAGACAGTTATGTAATCATATCTAGGATAAATATAGCCTGATCAACTATATTTATTTGAGATACGACCAACATGTGTTTGGGAGTGATTATGGTGTGGCAACAAGTCTAAAACTTACCAATTCTATATACAAAGGAATACTAGAACCAGACATAAAGTTTAAAATACTATAGGAGTATTTTATGATAACAACAAGTCTAGAAACTTATCAACTTCGTATACCAAGAAACTCTTACATAGAGTTAAAATACTATAGGAATATTGTAAGGTACTATAAATAACATATGTGAGAACTAAAAGACCCTTACTAGTAGGTCTATAATTGTTGAGTGTATACGATAAGGTTATATATGATTGATATTTTATAGACTTAGAATTTGTGATTTTCGCTCTACTTCCTGTTCCTTGTTTGGTTGTGGTCTTGGAGTGGAATCACTTATTCGAAGGTCTATTCGATCTTAGTTATATATAAGTAGTATGCACTACGTAATTATAGAAGGACCCAGTAAGGATCACTCCTCGGAAATTTTAAATAGAAATGTGTTAGTAATCTAATAGATTCTTTAGACACACCTATTCTCCCACCAACATATCTAGACATCGCAACCTTACCATAACAACCAACAGAGGAGTTGAGGAAGAACCAGAAAGGGGTCGAGGAGAAAGATTCTAAGAAAGTATCAAACAAAGGGAAAGGCGCTAGTGAAATCATTAATGAACCTTGCCTTACCAGAAGTAAGCATAAGACTCTTTCACTTCTTTCTAAGATACATCCCTACAATGTGCAACCCAACTACATGCATAGACTGGAGAAGACAACCAATGATCCACATTCAGTATACACCCGTTACACCATGCTCCCTATAATTGAGCAATACCTCAAATTTTAGTATGAGAAGCCCACTTATACATTCGGATTCGGACTCTCTATCATGAAGTAACGAAGATCGATGACGAAACCCAGAACACGACGGTGCAAAATTCAACACGCCTACGAAAAACAAAGACACCATATGAC